AAAACTTAGGTTCAAACAACCCAAAAGCCCTTCGCTCAAATCACAAGTAAATCCAACTAGCCTTCAAGTAAAATTTCAGCAGCATATCCCTTGTGTTTACCTATTTTCCAGCCATCATGGCTTCATTATTTCCTCAAATCAGTCCCAACATCTCGTACAAAAATAATCTCATTCCCAAAAGCCGTTCACTAGGCTTAATGGCATTCAAGTACAAAATTTAGCTCGAAAATGACCGGATATGAAAGTCAAGCCCTAAATAAGACTCGATTACAAATCATAAACCAATGCCAAATACAACCCCAATAGGGTTCCATAAGCATATACAAGCATTAGGGGAAACCAGAAAATCCAGAAATGGCATTAGCTTTAGCCCTGAAAAAAATAGTTTTTGACCTCATTTTGCAGTAATGGCACCAAAGGCACTAAAATTATCGGATTAAGGTCCAAAACCCACCGTTTCAAAGCTAAGAGATAGGGTTACAATATTACAGAAGGTCACTCAACCCAGTTTCGAGTGTAACCAGGTCAAAAATGCAATCAACTATACTAGAACCGCAAAAACAGATTCACAGAACGCATTCTAGTGCAAATATCATAAAACAGCCTACATAAGTCCAAATCCAGAAATTCCAAAGCCATATGAAAGCTAAGAAATAGGGATACATTTCATCAGAAGACCTCAACAACCAATTCGGAAGCATTCCTAACCAAAATAACCAATTACATAAGCAATTCCCAAATTCGGGTAAAACCAGGACAGCAAGGGTAATTTCGACTTTTCTCAAGCTACGCTACTCCGACTGACCTGAAATTTTGCAGGAACTTCTAAAATATCATTTCCTACAACTTTCATGTTTTAAGCCAAAGCCAATTCGGCCTCTAACTATGAGATACAAAACCGGGCAGAATGAAGAACAATGAAACCCTAAGTTTTCAATTTCTTTCCAAAACAGCAATTGCTTGCAATTAACCACTTTTTCCACCTCCTAGATCCCTTACATACCATTTCCAATCATCATACATAGCCACACAATCATATTCATATTAAAATAGAAAAATCCCCAATAATTACAAAACTTCATCAATTCAACCAAAAATCACAATATAATCCATAAAATTGCATCTTATACTACCACTAAGCATAAATTAAGCATCATTAGAGGGAGGAGAGTGGTTCTTCATAACTCACCTTAGAAACAAGAGAGAGAGAGAGAGCAACAAGTCCTCTTAGCTTTCCAAACAACTCCACCAAACCCCACACAAACACTCACTTAAGGTTTTCTATGGAACAAAAGTAAGATTAAGTGGTTGATTAGTTGAATTTGAGCAAGATGGAGGCAAGAATTTGAAGAGTTTTCTTTCTTTCTTTCTTGGAGGAGAGGGCCGGCTATGAAGAGCAAATTTTGAGTGAATTTTTGATCAATTTTGAGTTATTTTAACCAAATGGTAAAAGTGGGAATAGTAGTCAAAAAGTGCCACCAATGTCCAAGTGACACTTGTCACTCTATTAATGCATCTCTATCCCTTTGTTCCCTCTCACATCAATCCAAATTGCAACATCTACTTATCTCTTAACACCCGGTAAATTAATTTCAGTATCCAAAACTTACCCTAGTTGGCCGAATTTTACGGAACTTTCCGCACTAGTGGGTCCCACGTCCGATATACATTCTTATTTCTCAAAACCTAACCGATACTAGAAAACTCATCTAAAAACTCTATTTACTCATAAAAATTATCTAGAAAATTGTCCGGATACAGAAAGTGCAGAAAACAAGCCATTGAATATAATAAAACCCTAAAATGAAAAATTACGGGCTCTCACAAGAGAACTCGAAAAAAAAAAAAAGCTATGTTCCACAAGAGTTTAGCATCCCCTGAATTGGCAGTTGTTTATTTTATTTTTTTTAAGCAACTTTGTAATCTAGCCGTGCAAACGGACCGCTAGATTTTGATTGATGCTCTATATAAGCACTGAGGAACTTCCTCATCGTTACTCCGCGCCTCTCACTTTCTCCCACTCAGAGTTTACATTGTGAGACCACAAGACAGTTCTTCGCCTGTGAGAAAAAGAGAACATGACAATTCTTCACCTGTGAGAAAATGAGAAATGTAAACTCTGAGTGGGAGAAAGTGAGAGGTGCGGAGTAACGATGAGGAAGTTCCTCAGTGCTTATATAAAGCATCAATCAAAATCTAGCCGTTCGTTTGCACGGCTAGATTACAAAGTTGCTTAAAAAAAATAAAATAAACAACTGCTAATTCACGGGATGCTAAACTCTCGTGGAACATAGCTTTTTTTTGTCGAGTTCTCTGCTAGGTACCAGCGCTTTTTTTGTTCAACTTTACATGTCTGACGGGATGCTCAACATTAGCTGCCAGCCATTTTTTTTTTTTGTTCATAAGCCCTGCCGACTGCTTTGGAGTTTTTTTTCAAAAAAAATTTACTGGCTGCCGGGCAGCTTTGTGCAGAGGCTGTCAGTCCGGTAGCCGACAGCTTTATAAAAAAAATAAAAATTTTTCGCTGCCGGGCTGTGTCAGAGTCAGAAATTTTCAGTTCATACCAAAACCCTGTCAGAGCCATACATGTGCGATTAATCTTTTTTTGGTCAATAATCTGAGTAATTAACCGTCCAGCTCTTGAAAATTCAATTTAAATTCGATTTAATTATTATTTTTATCTTTTTAAGTTCGAATTCAATGTATTGTATTCAACTCAAATTCGACTTAATGTATTGTATTTTTTATCTTATTCAAAGGGTTTGTTTGGATAGGAAATTATTCAAAAAAAAAGTATCTAAAATAATACTGTAACATTATTTGTAATGTAATTTATATGAGATAAAAAGGTGGTTGAAAATTATATTCAGGGTATATATATATATATATATATATATATATATATATATATATATATATATATATATATATGTATTGGCAAATCTTGACAATCAAACAAACCCAATTATTGTTATTATACTAACTTTTAGTGTATCAAAATTTAACCAAAATTATTTCTTTTTTTGTAATTGAAATACTTCATTTTCTTGCACTAAATAAATGAAAATTGTGCAATGATATCTCATTGACCTTCTAAAAGGGCCAACTAACAATTTATGATACTTCATATCTATAGCATAACTGTAGCGGTGGACTGAAACTTGGGAAATGCCTTGGTATAAATGTGCATTGGCATAACTGTATATTTCCTGCAGAAACTGTGAAGATTGGTTATAGGACCATATCAGGCAATGTTGTAAAAGACATTAAACATATGTATTTTGTTTGGGAAAGGAACTTGTTTACTCATAATTAGAGCTGCAAACGAATTGAGTTGTTCGAGTCCGAACTTGACTCAAGATCGGTGAACATCGAGCTCGAGTCAAATTTGAATTGATCAAGTCGAACTCGAGTCAAATTTGAATTGATCAAGTCGAACTCGAGTTTGAAAATACTAATCTTGTTAGTTTCCGAGCCGATTCGAATTTGATTATATATATAATTTTTTATTTTAATAATAAAATTATATATATATTCCTAATATTTTATTTTTTTAAAAAAAATTATTTTATTTATTTTAAAAAAAAATAATTATTTTTTTAAAAAAAATTTAAACTCAAACTTGACATTTTGAACTCGTCGAGCTCAAACTTGAATTTGAACGAGCCTCAACTCGATTAGACCGAAATTCAACTCGTTTGGACCCTTACTCAGAATATACACCCATGATGTGATCTATATTGGGTACATCAAAATGTGGGAAATGTATCACAATCTAAGGTGCAAAATGTTGGGGATATTACAAAGAAAATGGTTGAATGATACAAAGATAGATACACAAAATAAAGATTTCAAATCTTGATTCAAAATCACTTTTCTTTAGGTTTTAATTGCCCATTATTTGTGTGCAATAGAACTTGGACAAATTATCCTTCACCATAATTTGAAATTTGTTTGTCTTTTACTCTTTGCAAAGATTTCAAATCTTGATTCAAAATCACTTTTCTTTAGGTTTTAGTTGCCCATTATTTGTGTGCAATAGAACTTGGACAAATTATCCTTCACCAATTTGAAATTTGTTTGTCTTTTACTCTTTGCACTAAATAAGACAAATCCTACTTGAACTATGGGCTGTTTTTCAAGAGAATTCTATAGCGTAGAAAAGTAATTTCTATACATGATCCAGAAGTATTTGAAAGTTGCAACTTTTGTCTAATGAATCATGTATTTTCTCAGCCAAGTGATTAACACCAGTGGTCTGAAGTTTTTTTAGAGGTTTTAGACACCATTTCGAGGGGCATTAACCGTCAAAACATGAAAAATTAAACATTTTGACCGTCACTAAGGATCCATCCGCAGATCATACTGCATTTCCAATGGGCGCTCATACTCTTGCAGAAGGATCCCTACACTCGTATAATCACTGTAAAAAGGACCTTTTGTGGAAGTTACTCGTATATATATAGCTCAGGATTTACGAATGAAATGTACAACAATGGTCAAAATCACTGAACATGCAGCTGTATTTGAATTAGAATGACTATAAACATATGAATTTGATCCTAAGTGACATGCAGTTGTACGAGAGCACAAGATTTCCATCCAGATGAAAGGTTTAACAATGCTGAAACCAATAACTAAGGGAGTAGAATTTATAGTACCATGCACGAATAAAACGCATGAACTGAACTTTATCGGATATCCAACCGGTCTATGCAATTGGGAAAGGCAGCAGGCTGGAGAAGAATCGAAGTACAATCAGACTGCAAGAATGTGATAGACTGTATCTTAACCGTCTCATGCAACAACAGCAACTGTGCTGTGATACTGGAGGACATACAACAACTGAGGGAGTTTTTTGAGCAATGCAACTTCTCTTTTATACATAGGGAAGGGAATGAAGTGTGTCATAGGCTAGCAAAGTTTGCCTTGAAGCTAGTTAATGATGTATATTGGGAATCATGTTTCCCTGGCTGGATTAAAGATCTAGCAAGAATAGATTATGAGAGCAATGAGCTCCTTTTGTAAAGTGCTCTTGTATTATCAAGTTTAAATCAATACAAATGTTATCATTTTGACAAAAAAAAAAAACCGGTCTATGCGAGCACAGTAAATTAATTTCAAATCAGAAGGGAAAAGAAAGGTACATACAAGAAGCAGGACTGGTCCAACTTACATTGCCAGCTGCAGATGAACCCTATATGGTATATACACATAATAACATTACAGAATCTAGACAGTGTCGGGAATGCAGCCGAATATAAATACAGATTACTTTCCAGATGGGCTGTAGCAAACTTGGCCAGTAAATTATCTGCCAATGTACCTCAGATGGTGGTGACTCGGACTACGCAATACACCTCGGCACTTTCGAGAATCTGAAGCAGCTGGATGGCTACCCCAATGTTGCTTCGTCACACAATCTGAGCTAGAAGAAACTACCAGTAGTATCATTCTGCTAAGAAGCAATTTATCACCTGCTTCTCAACTGGAGTAGTTGGAAAAATCGATTGCAGTGAGAATCCTGTGAAAAACACCACAATGGTTTTGTCGTCAACGAAAGTACTCAGGATAAATGGAATAGGAAGCTAAAAATCATAATGCATCTCTCATACAAGAAGATCAACAGTAAAGCCCCACGTGCTCAGGCAGCCCTCCTTTTCAGACCAAAATAATGGGAGTGAATGGATGAAACTTCATTTGAACTATAGAAGCAAGCAATTTGAAATTACATGAAGGGGAAGAAGAACAGATGTGAAGCTACCAGCTTTGGCAACAAAGTTCCATAAAAGAAGCCTGGCACTTCAATGATCGTCAGCCTTTTGAAGTGAATGACCTCACAAGCAAAACAGAATTTCTCATTCCCTTAAAGGTAATTGTGAATGCCAATGACAGATGGCAATGGGAGAAAATGACTTGAAAATGAACCAAAGCTCCAAGAAATTAACTCAAATGGAGTATATGTTCTCATCTAAGACTTATCACTTAATGGTCGTCTGCAAATTACAAATAGTAGCTGCAAAAACATATAGGATATTATCACCTTCAAGAACAAATTTTGAACACCAAGGACAAGTAACAACATGACAGAATGACTCAAAAATAAAAGAGGACCAAAATTCTAAGAGTTGAAACAGAGGGAAAGAAAAAGTGTAAGGTAGCTGACTACACACGCAATTCCATACTATAAAGTCATCATATAGCAAGCAAAAGCGATCTTATAAATTGAACTTTCATGATAAATTCAAATGCTCACTTCTGGGACCGGATTGTTAAGAAAACCTGGGACAAACAAAAGGCAAGGAGGGTAGTATCTCACATTTGCAATATAATCCATGAGTGGTAATTAATGATGCTCAATAAAAAATGGACTGGATCTCAGGAAGTAAGTCTATCCTCAACTGGATTTCAGATAGATAACGCAGTAAAAACATTAACATCACTGATCCAGAATGGACAATCATGACTAAACTACACCAATGTTCAAAAAATATTGAATCTGTCTAAATCTAAAAAAAAATTCAAGCAATGGCAGCGCAATCACCATGGGGACATCAAAGTAGCAGAGTATCACATTATAAGGCCATTTTGTCAATCGAGAAAATATCTTAAAAAACAAACAAATCCAAAATGCTCATGTTGCATTTGGCTCTAATCCATTTTGAATACATGGGTAAAACAACTGTGAGTATACCATTCGACTGAATCTCAGAATCTCCAGATTACAACATCAAAAATAAAGTACATAACTCAACAGAGAGGTGGGAAATGGGGAGAACAGCATCTCAGAGTCAATCCCCATAGTTTTCTTCACTGGTAATCAAAGTGCAAGGATAACAATTGTCATATATCATCACTGATGCTCATCCTCAGATCATAAAACAAATTAAACCACCAGTACAGACTTCAATATCGAAAAAGAAATTGAAAAAATGACATTATGAAACCATTAGACTGATAATTATCATACAGGACCTCAGGAAGACAAATTAATCTTCAATTCCATTTGGGAAATTGCAGATAGATAACGCAGTTTATTTCTTATTACATCATCGGTCCATCCAGGAAAAATTCAAAGGCAAATAGGATAATAAAAAAGAAGAAAATTTTCCAGCAAGAAGCTCAAGAAGCAGTAATGAATGATTAAAATGTCTAAACAAGGAGGAGGAACCTAAAAGAACAATTTATGCCTGCGGGACTTCACAGTTAGGCAAAAGAACAAAAGACATAAAACACTAGTTTGGGTCTTCTGGGATTGGATGAATGACGTTGCTTGGCATATGAAAATCAAATGTTTTTAAACTCTTATGAAAGTGGAGGCAGTCAGTCTGTTGGCTAACCCTCGTTACAGTATAGGACATGTTCAGCTACTGGCTTTATTCTGTAGATTTTTTGCTCCATAATTATATGAAAGCATATTTTAGGCAAGATGACCAATTAATATCAAATAAGGGGGGGAAGTCAATTAAAAAGTATAGACTGAACCAATCGAGCTTGTTCCTTTTTATGTGTGCTTCAGAGGTTCAGGGATGTTCCCTCGTCAATGGCCATTCCCCCAATTTGCGCTCTATTTTCCCCTTTCCTCGCAAAGAATGAAGTAAAAGTTCACACTCTCTGCAACGAACCAGTTTTATATAACTATATTTAATGACTACTCAATTAGAACGAGAGAGAGGGAAGTTTACAGGCATGGTATAACCGTACAAGGCTAAACCCATAAAAAACAAAGCATTCAAACAAATGAATCAGATAACTAAATGGCTAACATGCTTCAAAGATAAAAGAACCTGAATATTATAAACAACATATGCACCAAAGAACAATTGCCATACCCTGCACCAAACATCACCATCAGAACTCAGATGCCATACAATGTACAATCGCAGCTCCATTAGGAACTGTGAGAATCACGTCAGACCATAAAATCCTTCCGCTCAACATTCCATCCCCATCCTTCCAAACTTCAATATCCGCACACATTATCTCCACCTCCTTCCCACTCCCCTTCCCCTCCCAAACTACACACAACCTTCCATCGAAATTCACCATCGTCGCACCACATAAAAACCTAGGCAACCCTTTCCCTACACCCCTCAACTCCTTCCAAACATCTTCCTCCACATCGTACCCTCTGATCTTCCCTAAATAATCATAACAATACAACACTCCCCGAACCACCGCAGCCCGCCCCCTCCACCCCAAATCAAGCCTTTTGGACACGTTTCCCCACTTCCCCAGCCCAACATCATACACCACCCCACCTCTATCCGCCATTGCATAAACTCTCCCCTCCACCACCGCGCTCGCGTGCATCCACTTCTCCCTCACCTCAATAGGGCTCGGCACCGGGGCCCACAACCCAGTATCCGGGTCAAAAACCTCGGCCCAGTTCACAGACCGTGCCCAGCTATCCACAACACAACCACCTAGAACATAAATCTTCCCATCAACAACCCCGGCCGCAGCGAACTCCCGTCCCACCTTCATTCTTGGGCCTTCCTCCCACCTATTAAACCTACAATCATAAACCCACATCAAATTTAACGGAATTTCGTTAATAGACCCCCCAATTACGTATATTTTCGGGCCTAGGACGGCGAACGCAGGGCCTACGGGCTGAAACGGGATGCGGGGAAGGGGAAAAATGGGTTTTTGTGGGATTTTTCTGCTATGGCAATTAGAGAGGAGAGTGTACCAGTGGAAGGAGTAGTTGATACGGAGGTTGAGGTAGAGAGAGGTTTGGGTGGTATGGAGGAGGGACCGGGTGGTGAAGAGTGCAGAGGAGGTTATGGCGGAGCGCCATGATCTTGAGACAAGAGAGAGCTTAGGGTAATAGTATCTGGGGATTCTTGATAGGCAGTTGATGGACACGTCATCTGGGAGGTCTGGGATCAGCTGGGGTTCGGCCGATGGTCGTGGCGGCTGGCCGCCACTGGTGGTGGTGGTAGTGGTGGTGGTCATCTAACCAATGGACTGTGAAACTTGGGAAATGCCAATGTTGTTGCAGCTAAATACGTATAGGGACTCTAAAACTTTGGAAATGCCTATATGTTGAATTAGGGTTAATTCCACTTTGTCCCCCCAAACTTTGGACGATTACTCACTTCAGTCCCTAAACTTCAAAATGGGACACTTAAGTCCCTAAACTTATAAATACCTCCCACTTAAGTCCCTAAACTTATAAAATGGGATACTTAAATCCCTAAACCCTTATAAAATGGGACACTTCGACCACCAACGACATTCAGGATTTGTTAACAATTTTCCTTAAATGGGAGGTATTTATAAGTTTAGGGATTTAAGTGTCCCATTTTGAAGTTTAGGGACTGAAGTGGGTAATCGTCCAAAGTTTGGGGGGACAAAGTGGTATTAACCCGTTGAATTATTGATTGGCAACTAGGGTCCCGTCGAGTCGCTCGAGCACGACTCGAGGCAAAATAACTAAGATGGAGCTCTGTTCAAGCTTTTAAAATTTGAGTTCGAGCTTGAACTCGACATCAATTTATAGAACTCAAACTCGAACTCGAGCTCAAGTTTAAGTAAATGTAATTAATTCAAATCAAACTCAATCGAGTTTATTCGAACTCAATCAAGTCTAATGAAGGTTAAGTAATAAAAATTAATATTTTATATATAATTTTAAATAAAAAATATTATTGACATTTCATAATAATAAAAATACAAATATATATTATAAAAAGCTCGATAGAGCTCGTCGAGCTCTCGAATATTATATTTTCAAGATTGAACTCGACTTGATAGCTCTAACGAGCAGTTCGAGCTAGAGATCGAGCTGGGTCAACTGAGCTCGAGCTCAAGCTGCTGACTAAGTAGCTCGCGAGCTCGAGCCGAGCTACTTGGTTCAGCTCCAGCCCTATTGGCAACCACCTCTATAAAATTTTCAAAATTAAACTCAAACTCGGATTGATTATTAATTTATTTTATTATTCATGCTTGATTTCAACGTCATTATTATTAATTTTTAAGTGTTAGCAATATTTAACTAAAATTATTCATTTTATGTAATTGAAATGCTTCATTTTCTTATATACTACTAAATAAATGAAAATTGTGCAATATCTCATTGACATATCTTCTAAAAGGGCCATTTGACGTATACTCGGACGCCGTACAAAGCGTTGGGGGCCAAAGGGAAAACACAATCTGAGATTTCCAAGTTCGAACTGACAACGGGGAAACAAAATCTATCCAACTGAACTCTAAGATTGCCAGCCGTTAACAAGGAAACAGTTCCAACTGAATTGCCAAGATTTTTTACAAAGTTTCAACCAGCAAGACTGTCTGAATCCTGGTTGAACTGATCAACATATCCAGCTCCCCTTGTCCAATTGCAGTACATAATCAAAATCTGCTGAATTTCTCTTATGGGTTCCTGCCACCAATTTTGAACCATATTGCCTTTTGACAGTTTGAATTGAGATCTCTCGAAGCTTCCCGTCAGTGGGGTTCAACTTTTGCCACCACAACACACACCTTGAAGGATGCAGAAGTTGATGCCTCCAGGAAGGAAACAAGTACTCGAGGGCCAGGCAGAGGCTATATCCCTAAGTCAGCCTAATTAAAAATTTTTGTCAACCAACATATCCAAATCACAAGCCACTGGCCATTTGGTCCAGTGGTCATCACCATTAAAGGTGATGCTGGAGGTCAGGGGTTCAATCCTTGCCTCCCACAAATTTGACACAATTTGTGGCGGTCTTAATTGACCTTCATCGATGGAGACTGTACTCACATCGAACCCCCTCCCCTTCCCCTTAGACTAGGCTAGATTAGGTTATAGGACATCTATCATTGCGACAAAAAAAAAACATATCCAAATCACAAGTAACTTTATACAAATTATAATGCTGAACTAAATTTCAATGATCTAAAGATGACAGTTTTGTAAAAATCAGCTGTAATGCTTAAACTTATAGCACCGTCAAACTACTTCACAGTATCACAAAAATATAGAGAAGGAAAATTAAAAGCACATACAATGCAAACTAGTAATGTGCTTAGCTGGAGTGATTACCAAGTAAACTGCATATTTCAGATCATACTCTGGTTCCTAGTTAGCTCTTCTTCTTGAACAGGCATTGGAGCAAATCTGATTCCAGCCAACTCAAACTCTTTCAATTTCAGGCAGTCATCAAGAGCATCTGCAGATGTGCAAATGTATTGAAATAAAATTGAGGAACATGAAATAAAATTTGTGAGGTCATGTGAAACACTGAAAAAACTGGAAGATGCCATGTAAAATGTTACAGTGTATTTTGGCTCACAGAGGATTAAATGAAACAAAAACCAAAAAAAAAATTAAATAAAATTGTGAGGTCATAATAAATTGATGAAATTTCTGAGGGGAAGTCCAACTGAATTATCGAGTTTGAACAACTTATATGACCTAATAATATCAGTTAAGACTATTTGATTAATCATGAAAGTATCAAAGAAAATTCATAATGAACTACATAATGCATAAACAAAAGATAATAACAAAAAAAAAAAAAATTTAGTCTCAAATATATGTGTGTGTGTGTGTATATATATATATATAGTGGATTCACGTTTTTTTCTCAATTGATTTTTCTCCATTCGAAGATAAAACCATATAAAAGTTTCTTGGAAAACCAAAATAGTAATTAATTTTTCACTTAAAAAAATTATTTGTTAGGAAAATTTTTTTGAGCTCTATTATTTGTTAAAAAATAATTAGTAGGAATATAATACTTGAAGTCTTTGAACAATTTTAAAAACTTAAGTTTAAAAACACCAATTTGGACCAATTATATATATATATATATGTATATATATTGTGGATTCACATTTTTTTCCTCAATTGGTTTTTCTCTGCTGGAAGATAAAACCATATAAAAGTTTCTTGGACAGCCAAAATAGTAATTAATTTTTCACTTAAAAAATTATTTGTTAGAAAATTTATTTTTGACCTCTTTTATTTGTTAGAAAAATAACTGCTAGGACTAGTCTTGAACAATTTAAGAAACTTAGGGTTAAAAACACCAATTTGGACCAATTTGGGCCTCCCCACTCGTAATATACATAATCCTATGGCAGCATAAAAGTTTCTTCCGTTTTTAATATTGCCGTGGTCTTTCCGCCCGCCACCGCCAGGTTTTTATTTTTATTTTTAATCAGTTCTTCACCTCCCGCCTCTTTTCATGGGCTTATTTATTCTACACAGTCTTAGATATTGATCGAATTTTCTGTTCTTTTCTATCCGTGGAATTATCATGAAGAAAGCCTATTAATTACTGAATTCAGCTGAATGCTTGCCACAACTCAGGTACAATTATAAATTTGGATACCTGTGGAAGTCTGGGAATCTTGTTTAATTTTTCTTTTCCCCTTTTTTTCCTGGTTGTAGCGTGGAGGGGTATAAGGTGAACGCATGAGTGAGAATTGTGGACTAGCTATTGAATGAAGTTTGCCTTTTGATATCTTTGAGTAGTCCCTCTATTATGTACTGTGTTTTGTCTTAATTTGGGTGTTTGGGGGGGGGGGGGGTAATTTTTTTTTTTCATTTTTTGGCTGTTCAGCAGTTTGTTACTGAGGTTTGTGCTCTCTGTTTATGATGTGTTCTCTTATCAAATAAAGTTACATTTGTGCTCAAAATAAAAGAAAAAAGTTGATGATTAAATAGAAATTGAATCGGCGCTGTCAAAGTTTGATTTTTGTGTTAATAATTTTGGTTTTGTTCCAGTTTATGCACTCCACTTGCACTTCAGATTGGAAAGAAACTAAACTAATAATGAGATTGAAGAGATGGGTAGTTGACGGTTATGAAATTATTGAAGAATTTGCTACAAATAATTAGGCGTATTCCAGTGAAGTATGAGTTGTTTTTTAAGTTAATATGAGGTCTTAATTTACATGATTCACAAGGGCTTTATCAAGGTTTACTAAAAACCCATTTAGGATAGCTGGTCATTTTTTGGACTAATTGAGAAGTGAGGATGTTGGCAAAGAATGTTTACTTTTATAACATTTGTCGGTGGAAGAGTAGTGCTGAATTGTTACTGGCAACACGTATGGAAGAAATCATTCATTCGGTAGAGTGCAGATTGATTCAAGTCTATTTGCATTTGATTTATAGTGGACAAACCTTTCTTTGCTTGCCCAGCTGCACCTTTTTATGCACTTTGTTTTCAAGTTTAGGGTTTTTGGATGTTTTATCCATATTCAATTAGGTTCCTTTAATAATGCAAAGCAATAAGCGATGCTTGTTTATTTAAGTGCTAACACTTTAAACGAAGTCTTGAGTAGTGTTTGTTGTTGGCTGGAAGCACTGCTTGAGGTTGTCTTAACCTGGTCTTGTGAGTCATTTAGTTTCACCACCAGGACCAGAGAGATCCACCAATTATGTTGGCAGTTGGTCTCAGGAAAGGGTGGTCAGAAGGCCCCTAGTGCAGTGTCTTAGAGCAGCTTAGGATGATAAAGTCAATAGATGCTGCTTGTGTCTGAATTCAAACAGGAAATTAGAACTAAGCAAGGGCATAAATAAAATGCAGAGAGTGTAATAGGGGCGATGGAAGAAGTTATGGTAGTTGATTCTCTTACTTGTTGATCATCAAAATAATCAAAGCCAGTTTATAAGGCAGACCATAGGAGCCCTAAATATTTGATCTCTTTCTCATTCTTCTAAACCATGACGTGTGTTGTCAATGCCGTAGAATGTTAGATTCATGGAGAAAAATGCTTAGTCGTAAGAAGTACGTGCTTGTTCTAGGTGAATTAAACTTACATCTCAATTGTTCTAAAATCAATGCAAGCTAAATACTGAAGAAGATTATAGGAATTATAGTGGAAAATGAGGGGATCAGAAGTGTGTGTATTTTTATGCATGTAAATTTGCAAGCTTTGACTTAATCTGATCTACATTTAGTTACTTTTGGCTTGTTATCACTCAGAAATCATAAAGAAGCTTAGGGTTTTATGTGCCAATAGTAGAAACTCTGAGACCACAATAAGATGAGCTTA